ATAGCTGTTTTTCTTTCTTTTTTCAAAAATTGTAATTTCTATCTTTCGGCGACGTTCCCTTACTAGGACGTCAGCCTCTTGTACAAAACGCCTATTACAGGCCAACTTCAAAAATCAATACAATTCATTTTCACAAGAAATTCCAAACTTGTTTTTTCTTTTTCCGTTTTTGTTTTGCAAGAACTTCCAATGATTAATTTTTTATATATCCATTTGAAAATAATTGCTGCTCATAAATATTTACACAAGAAACAAAAGACGATTACTCGTAATTCCAGGAACACGGACAAACAAGAAGTGCCCAAACCTTACAGTTACTCTGCCCATCAGGTACCGAGATAGAGCCAGCTGGAGAACATGAGAAGTGGTACAAACACTCCCCACAGGGTAAGAAGTATCCAAAGACAGTGGTGTTAACTTTCCCAATAGGGCACAACTCTCCCCAGCTAAGGTCCACATTTGTGAGTGAGTCAGTAAATTTTTTCCCCAAGCAGAGTTTATTCCTCTTACAAACAGAAATTCAATCTCCAACAGAATTCATTATCACCAGCAACGGAAATTCATCCCCGACTGAGTTTATTTCTCCTAATCAGTATGATCCATCAACAAAGCATCTTCTCTCCAACAGAGTTATTCCCCACAAAGTTAACCTCGGACAAGGTCTCTTCCGGAATAATATTCGCCAGCCAAGGGGCAAACCCCTAGCACGGTCATTTTTGTTCACCATCCCCAACAGAGGTGGAGAAACTATGGTTTTCATGGCAATCAGGGATTTATTTTCCCCGATTCCGATTATCACGTCAGCATTTCATGTTCATACATCATGACATACGCATACACCGCATATAACATGGTCTCATTTATTTTGAGAACATCAACACACAATGCATCTCATGCATCACATATAAGTAACCCTGTATTTATTTTAGGAAAGACATTATTATCAATAATTTCCAGCAAGCCCATGATTGACACTCGAAGCTAAACAGAGTAATCATCGGCGCAACAAAAGAAACCCTACTACACAGGCTCTCATATCGAAGAAACCCTACTATCCAGGTTCCTTATCACAGCCCTACTGTCCAGGCTCTCATATCGAAGAAACCCTACTATCCAGGTTCCTTCTCACAGCCCTACTACCCAGGCTTTCATCTCGAAGTAACCTTACTATCCAGGTTCCTTCTCACAGCCCAACTACTCAGGCTTTCATCTCGAAGTAACCCTACTATCCAGGTTCCTTCTCACAGCCCTACTATCTAGGCTCTCATATCGAAGAAACCCTACTATCCAGGTTCCTTCTCACAGCCCTACTACCCAGGCTTTCATCTCGAAGTAACCCTACTATCCAGGTTCCTTCTCACAGCCCTATTACCCAAGCTTTCATCTCGAAGTAACCCTACTATCCAGGTTCCTTCTCACAGCCCTACTACCCAGGATTTCATATCGAAGTAACCCTACTATCCAGGTTCCTTCTCACAACCCTACTACCCAGGCTTTCATCTCGAAGTAACCCTACTATCCAGGTTCCTTCTCACAGCCCTACTACCCAGGCTTTCACCTCGAAGTAACCCTATTGTCCAGGTTCCTTCTCACAGCCCTACTATCCAGGCTCTCATATCTAAGAAACCCTATTATTCAGGTTCCTTCTCACAACGCTACTATCCAGGCTCTCATATAGAAGAAACCCTACCATCCAGGTTCCTTCTCATAACCTTACTATCCAGGTTTTATTCCTCTATTATCCCCAGACAGTAGTCCACAACACTGTAAGACCGGGACCCGATCAAACACAATTGATTTCACATTTCCTTAGTAAGTCGCGGTGCAACATATACCCCGACCGAACACAAGATCAGTCCCGCTTCCCAAACCAGAATCATTCCCCAGTAGAGTAACGGACAACTGAAGCTCCTAAAACTCTATTTCTCTCAAGACAGAGACCAACATTCCCCAGCGAAGTCCTCCTCAACGACAGGTACACGGGTTCTCGCAAAGGAATCACTTATGGAATCGGAACCTCTTCGGATGGCATCTTTAAGCCCATCTTCCATCATCGACTTCCAAATGGCATCTGTAAGCCCATTCCCGATATCATAAATCCAGTATCACTTCATGCGAGTGCAAATTTCTGGGCACTCTAGTGTTCAATCATCTTCCACCTTCAGATCACGAAAGGCGGACAAGCCAATCTACATCCTCAGATTTAAGAAGATTGAATAGGGGCAATATGCAATTTCCCATAGTGACTTGTTCTCGTACGTTTTTTCAACCCAATGATTTCCTTCAAGTTCATTTTCATTAATTAGCTCTGGCCAAAACTCTTCAAATTGATCCTTTGTAAAATTACAGTACATGGCTTTTTGAAAACCTTGCAAAAATCCTGAGTTCTTTACATTCTCACCTACATTCTTATTCAAATGCCAAGCGCATAAACGATGTGTCACATCCGGAAACACTTGTTTTATAGCTTCCCTCATCTCCCCATCTTCGTATGTTACAACTTCTTCTTCATATTTATCTTCCATGCACTCTAAAAAACACTCCAACAACCACTTATATGTCTCTGTCATTTCATCTGAAACCAATGAAGCACCAAAAATAACTGTCTGAGTGTGGTGGTTACACCCTGAAAATATAACCAATAGGTAGTTGTCTTTGTTCTTCTTGTAAGTCGTGTTGAACACAACCACATTACCAAAACAAAAAAAGTCAGATATATTACTCCCATCATCCCAAAAAAGATACTTCATTCGTCCATCCCTGCTGACGACATATTTAGCATATAGTATAAGATCAGTAGATGACTTCACATGTAGATAATTTAAAGCAGCAACAATGTCAACATCTTTAATAGTAGCACACATTTTTCTGTCAAAATAATTGTGCAGATCCTTCTTTGTAAACCCAACACGAATGTATCTACCCTTATGAGCAACCATGTACCCCCTTATATGACAATTTCTAATTCCATGTGACCGAATATTGTCAATCTGAGCTCTATCTGCTTCAGTAATTTCACGATAAATAGGGTGTAAGTGCATAAACCTAGTTGGGGTTAATTCATGGTTGTGAGCCTCTTTAAAAAACGACACCACATATCTATTCTTGTCGGCTTTGTAATGCACGCGAAGCCTAGCGAGACATTTAGTGTGGGTCGTATGTCTGTGTTCTCTTTTCCTATCAACCCTCCTAAAGTGTTTCATATCTCTTAGACCGTGTTTATTGCATACAAAGTGCCTCATTACTGTTATTTTACCACCCCTAGTCCCTCTTATCCTAACATCACTTTTCCTAATGACAAACCCTTTACATTTATCATACTTAAAATAAAATTCATTAGCTTCATCAACTGTACCAAATTTTATAACACGGATTTCATCAGCAGTAAGGGCATTAATATTCACCTTTCTATCACCAACAACTGCATCTGATTCAACAGAATCTTCGTTGTGACTATTACCATTACCATCACCATCATCTGAACTTTGGAACACACTGGACACCGAATTGATGTCATCCCGAGCATAGTCTGATTCAACATCAGATGTATCACTATCACGACACCGAACATCGTTGGAATCATAATGGTCGTAGTTTTCGATAATAAATCTGAATTAACACATTTGTTAACACACGAAAACCCAACATAAATCACAATACCTAATTTCCTATTCAAATTAAGCATAGACCTTAGTTCATAAAATTTAAATCAAATTTAACACCAAATCTGAATTATCACAATTTTTAACACAACAAAACTCAACATCATTCTCAATTCCTTATTTCTTAATTAAATCAAGGGACCTGATTCAGAGGTAACCACCAAATTTGAAAATTCGAAATCATCAAATATTAAATCCATGTAAATAAAACAAATTCAGGCACAAAACCTAATTCCTAATTTAAAATCAAATTTAACACTTCCATTTATACTTTATTTGAAATCAGTTAATCTTAATCATTAATTTCAAATAAATATAACAAAAAAAATCGAATTTACCTTAGCAACCGCGTGCTCAATACGAACACAATCCGATTTTTGGTCGTGTTATGTTTGGTGAGCGATTGAATGACACAACTTCAAAGGAATAGCGACGGACATGATGAATGTTGTGCTGATGTTCGTCTGCAATATTGACAAATGATGAATGACCGACGAACACGATGAATGGCGGGCGATGAATAAGTTCAAGTTGTTCAAAAATGGGGGACGAAAATAAAATTAGGGTTTCGGGTTAGATAATAAAGATGAATATGATGTTGATTTAGTGAGAAAGATTAGATAAAATTAAATTAATTTTATTTTAATTGATTTTCATTATAAACATTAAAATTTTAAAATAATATTAATATATTAGAGACTTAATTGCAATATTCATAACTATAAACATAATACAGTAAGTAGCATAAATGATATAGCCTTATGCAATATTTTAAGGCTTAAGACATAATTCTAATTAGCCAAAATGTGATTTCACCATAGAATTTTTCTAATAAAAAAATGTAAGAAAGGAAATGGCTGAGAAACTTAAAGCTATAGTCATTTCCATATAGAAATACTAATATAAGTTTGTTCTATAAAAAATAAAATAAAATAAAAGCAAAGACGGGTGATTTTTTAGTTAATAATTATTACCAAACAACATAATTTCTATCTATAATTATCACGATATCATGTCATAAAGTTTCTCCTTAATTTCGACAATTATAAACCTAAATACTTATCTGTACTTATAACAATGATTTTTACATTTTAGGTATTAAACTATACTATCATATAATTAATTTTTTTTTATTAACTAATAACTATCATTCATTCTTTATTTTAAAGAGAATAATATTATTTATTAATTTGTTTCCTTATTTACTAAAAAACAATTAAAGTATTTTGATTAATGTGCTCAAAGTTTTTGTATATATAGTTATACATAACCATTACAAATAAGCAAGTGTAGACAATATTAGTTTTCATACACAATCATTGTCCAAAAATCCATATCATGGTTAGTAAACTGTATAATAGTTTATTTTGTCGTTACAAGTAATTTTTTGATTTAACTAATGTATAATTATCTTGCAGGACTTGCTTATAATTTGCCTTTTTATAATTTCTATTGTATTTTGCAATTCATGGATTGCATTTGGTGAAAATATTTTTGATGTACTTAAATATGGTGCCAAAGGAGATGGCACTTCTGATGATACACAAGTATGTACATGATTTTTTCTTATAATTTTTCTTTCTTCAATATTTTGCTATATAAATAATCTGTGTTTTGATATATTATCTAAATTAATATGATTTTTTTTTTATAATTTTTTTTCAATACTTTGTTATATAAATATTATATAAATAAATTAATCTTAATATATTATTGTTCTAAAGGCGTTTGAGAAAGCATGGATAGATTTATGTGGATCAAATCAAGAGACTCCAACCCTTATTGTACCATCTGGACATATATTTCTTGTGCATCAAACAACTTTCAATGGTCCTTGCAAATCTAAAAATCTTCATATTAAGGTGCATAAAATATACTATCTATAGAATTATATTGTTTAATTTTTACACAATATTTTTTATGAATTAGATTAAGTTTTCATTAATTTAATATTGCTAATGAATGCAGATTGATGGAACTATACTAGCACCAGAGAGAAATGTTTGGGGTTCATGTTCAAAAAGATGGCTTCATTTTATTAATGTGCATGGGATGACAGTTGATGGATCAGGAGTGATCAATGGCAGGGGTGAAGATTGGTGGAAAAATGTAATATATATATATATATATTAGATTTTAATTTTTTTAATTTTTGATTAAATATAATATATGATTTAGTATATTTAGAATATACATAAATAATCCAACAAATAATTTTTTTTTTTTAATTTGCAGTTTAATTCAACCAAAGGATGTATTGGATCACCTACGGTTAGAAACTCTTTTCTTCTCAAAGTTGTTAAAAAGAAAATTGTTATTAATTTCTTCTATTTCAAAAGACTAACACTTAACTAATATAAGCAGGCTTTATTATTTGAAAGATGTGATGGACTTCAATTAAGTGGTCTCACTCATTTGAATGGACCAAGCTTTCATGTATATGTAGTCCATTCCGAAGATGTTACAATCTCACATATTAATATAAGTGCGCCAGCAAATAGTCGCAATACTGATGGAATTGATATTTCAAATTCAGTTCGTGTTAATATTCGCGATTCTATAATACAAAGTGGTAAATATAATACGTATTTAACTTTTAAATTATGATTTTATAATTTCTTTCTTTGGTTATTCATGAATTTTACTATATAGGTGATGATTGCATTGCTATTAAAGGTGGTTCTCAATTCATTAATGTCACTCAAGTTACATGTGGACCAACTACTCATGGAATTAGGTATGTCAAAATATTTTATAAAGTGTAAATCAACAATCTAAATAACTATATATAATTGGCATGCCTTACACTTTGATGCAGTGTGGGGAGTTTAGGGGATGGTGCGGATGAGGAATTTGCTGAAAATATAAATGTCAAGAATTGCACATTCAATGGAGCTTCTAGTGCAGCAAGAATCAAGACATGGCCAGTAATACTACAAACTTAATTGAAAAATTAAAGTTCTATATATATTTTTTTCATTTGAATCCTAAATTTAATTGATGAATATTCTTTGTCTTTTTTTTAAGGGTGGAAGAGGATACGTTAAATCCGTCGTTTACGATCAGATCATAGTTAATAATGTACAGAATCCTATACAGATTGATCAACATTATATGGGGACTCCAGAAAAGGTTCATATTCTTTCTCATTTACTTCATTTTGATTTTTTTCATAATATATGGATAATATTACTAAGATGATTTTTGTTGTTGTTGATGCAGAAAGAGGCACTTAAAGTGAGTGATGTAACATTTAGCAATATTCATGGAACATGCAGTGGTGAAAATCCTATTGTGCTAGATTGTGCTAAGATAGGGTGTGACAATATTAACTTATCACAAATCAGCATTACCCAAGTTGATCCAAAGAAGTCAAGTACAATCATATGCAAAAATGTTAAAGGGACAACGAATGCTTATGTTTCACCTCCTTTACACTGTATACAAACGTAAATTAGTTTGTGATTTTCTTAGAGAATTTAAGTCTAACTTCCTAGAGGAGCTATTGCACACTTCATGTATTTTGAATAATAATATTCAAACGGTTTAGTAGTTTTTGAGTTTCTTCCTTGGATTTAAAACTTTGTACAACTATTTATCTTAAATTTGTTTTCAAAATAAAAACCAAATTTGAAGTACTTCATGATTTCAATAACAGAAAAATAAGAAACCAAGATTAGAGATGTCTCTGGCCCAATTGTATTAAAATGGTAAGGGTGTAATGAAAAATTTTCTTTAAACTAAAGATGTGTCTGGCCCAATTGTATTGAAGTGTCGTTTGTTATCTTTTTAGCTTATTTGATCTCTAGTGATAGTAAATTTCAAGAGAAAAGTTTCATTAATAATGGATATTGATCTTACCGAATCAGACTTGAACCGTCACGACTGGCTCCGAGCTGAAGTTGAATGAGATGGGGGTACCTGCAAGGCACTCCGATGCTAAAGTAAGTGGGAGTACGAGCAAGCAAAAAGTATGAGTATGGGTAAGAGAATGAATACCTGACCCTCTGGGAGCAGAGGGTATTTATAGCCTCCAGCGCTGGGCCAAGGTTCCTTCATTGGGCCGGGCAGGTTTGGCCCAATGAAGGAACTGCCAGGTTCTACGTGTGTAGTGGAGACCCGCACGTGGTCTCCTTCTTGGGTGTTCTGCGAGAAGTACGGACGGACGGAGACGCGGTCTTTTCGGAATCCAGATGATGGCGTAATGGTCAAAGTCTGCCCTACGAGGAGCGCTCGAGCTGAGGTCGAGCTGGACTGCATGAAGGCGAGGATGTCGTGGATAAGGCTGTAGCTTCTTGGTCGGCGCGGCCCCCTGCAGGGCCGTTTGGATTGGGCCTTCATCTTTGCTTTTGGGCCAGCCCGACCCAGTCCAGAACAGGAGCCCCCCAAGTCGTGGTTCCTGGAGTAGGAGCCATGACTTGATCTTAGTTCGCCTTCGTCACGGGGTCACGTGCCCGGACAAGAGATGTAGTTCCCCGTGGTTGCTCGAGGAGTTTCCCCTGTGTCGCGCCCGTGAGATAATTCCTTTCGAGGAGTGCTCGGGGGACTCTCGACGAAGCATCTCTTGAGCATACGAGGCATCTCTTGGGAACCGTGCCGCCACCCTATTGACGATAGGGTCATTATTGCCTAGGGGAGTTATGCGTCGAGGAGGGAAGTCTGTGGTTCCCCGGGGTGACGTTTCGTATTCCACGTCATCACTATAAATAGGGTCCTTGGGCCCCAGAACATGTTTTTCCTCTTCGCGCTTCTCCTCCTTCCTCTGCCTCTGCTGCTGCTGTTCTTTCCAGATATTCATAGGACCGCCGTGCTCTCCGTCGCTGATTCCCTTTTTTCGTCATCGCACCTCTTTCCTGATTTCAAGTAAGCGTTTTGTCTCCTTTGCTTTTCCTATGTGATATATGATATTTTTCATTTTTTTAGACGTTAGAGACTGTACGTCTGGGATTAGCCCCGGTAGATTTGTATTTGGCTCGGCAAATTCATATTTATGCCCAGCAAACGCATGTTTGCGCCCGGTAAATGCATAGTTTAGGTATTTGACTTGCAGTGCTGCCCGGGATCTTCATGATTCAGGGCGCCTAACTCGTGATAGTGCCCGATAAATTCATAGTTCTAGTTTTAGGATTTATGATATCGCTCTCCATGTTCATAGCCTAGGTCGACATATTCGTGAGTGGCCGAGATGTTGGTCCATTTAGGCGATCTGTAGGAAGACTTGTCGTGGTATCTGGGAGTCGGGGAGGTGACTCTACTCTTTTTGTTTGAAACACCAACTTTTTTAGTCGTGCATGGAGTGACTCGGTTTGTCGTGCCCTTCTTCCCGTCCGTTATGGCGAGCGTGTGGATTTTCTCCCCAATTGACCGGTTTCCTGTGCTTTGTAGGTAACAATGGCGGACGAACCGTGTTCCTCGGGGCGCACTGAGGCGGAAGACCAAAGTGCCAAGGAGAATATGAATTTGGTCGATACCATCGACGATCCTCTGCTGGAATGGGTGGGCGCCGAGCCCAGAGGGATTTCTTCAGCCTATAGTCGACGCAGTCGAAGTGCGTATACCATCATCGAGCAGGGCGGTAGTCAGCCCGGTTTTCAGAAGAACTTCGTCGTCACCAGGCCGACTCTTACTGTGCGGATTTGCTCGGAGTTCTCCGAGTACGGGTTCCCCATGTATGAGATTGCTTTCAAGGACCTGGGATTAAAGCTCCCCTTCAGCGATTTTCAGGTCGAGGTCTTCAGTCATCTGGAGCTGGCCCCGTCGCAGCTTCACCCAAACTCGATCGCTTTCATCCGGGCGTTCGAGCTGACGTGTCGCTTTCTAAGGATTGGGGCGACCATACCTCTCTTCTTCAGAGTCTTCCATTTACAGCGCCAGTCCCAGGGAGGCGGGCACAGTTGGGTTTCCCTGAAATAGTCGAAGAGACTATTCAAGATGTACATGGATTCTGTCCGGGGCTTCAAGGACAAGTGGTACATCGTGCGGCCGGTTACCAAAACGGGTTTAGAGTATTTATACGAGGAAGAAACGGTTGTGACCGACGATCACGGGGAGGCTCTTCTAGATGACGAGGGACACCCGGTGTTAGGGCGTGTGGCTAAATTTCCTTTGCATTAGACCTCGCGTCACTACGAGCACGGAACCGGGCACTACTATACGCCCGTGGGTGGGATGAGCATCGAAGACGAGGAGGCTTATGGTACCCTGTGCCGATATGTCGACAGTTTCTTCCCCGCCCGATGGGCCACGAGGGAGGGGAAGGATATTCTTGACGAAAATGGTTATCCGACTTTTGAGGCCCGGCCTATCGATATGAAGGCGCTCGTGGAGTGCCAGTCCTTCGGGCAGGCCGCGAACCTTCTAGGTCATTATTATTTTGTCTTGTTTGAATTTCTTCGCTTGTTATTTGCTCGTCACTAACCCACTGTCATTTTATGCAGGTCTCATGGCTGGACGAAAGGAGAGGCTCCTAAAGCTAACACAGGGTAAGAAAGTCAATAAGAGAGTGGTGCGAGCTCCTTAGGCGACGGGGATGGGCCCTCCAACTAGCCCGGGCGGTGCTTCTGGAGGGTCCCCGGACGCTCAGGATGTCGAGCCACATACCGACCTGATACCAAGGAAGAGGAATCGGGTGGAGAGCTAACCGGAGGTCGGCAAGGATTCTAGTGCGGTGAGGTCCTTCGGGTTGCCCCCCTGTTTTAAAGAGGAGGGTTTCTTCGAGGGATTTCCCTTGTCCGTAAGTGCTGATGAGGCTGATACCATTAGGCGGCTGAGCAAGGAGAACCGGAGAAAGCATCTGGCCGCCAACATGGTCGGGATGGTCAAAATGGCCGAGATGGCCGTTGTGTTGGCCGAGGAGGAGGCGGACTCTGATTGCATGAAGGAGCTGGAACAGGAGAAAGCTGCACTTACTGCGAGCTCACGAAAGTTGAAGGCTGCCCTAGAGCGCTCCGAGGAGATGTTTCGCGAGCAAGCCGAGCTGCTGGCCGCGGAGAAAGAGAACTCGGGGAAGATTGCCGAGGAGAGGGAGTACTTCCGTGAGGACCGGGAACGCTTGGAGGCTGACAATGGGCGCCTCGCCAAAGAGGTCGAGGAATTAAAGGCCGCCATGCTCCCTGCCGAGGATGAGTCGGAGGAGACAACTCCTTTGCAAAGTCGGTCGGAACTGGTTGCTCGCATTCAACTCCTCGAGGCAGATTGCGTCGGTGCTTTAGCGGATGGCTTTGAAGCCGCAGTCAGCCAGCTCTCCCTGTTGAATCCTGATCTGAATACTGAAGGAGTGGGTTACATGTCTCAGATCATCGACGGTCAGGTCGTGCCCCCGCCCGAGTCTCCTGTTGTCGGCGGTGATAGCTCCTGGGAAGCCTAGCTGTGAGATTCTAGTAGGGCCTGCGCGCCTTTATTGATGGTTGTTTTGGGGCCTGCGTGCCCGTTCATATTTTACTTTTTGGGCCTGCGTGCCCGTTCTTTGTAATTCTTGAACATCGTCGGCCTTCCTGGCCGGTTTATCTCTATTTGTTTTGTTGCCCACGGGATTTTTGAATGCATGTTTGTTTCGACTTTTGATTGTTTGCCCGTGTTTATGTTTTAATATTTTTGCGCTAAAACTGGCCTAAGTTATGGCCCCGAGTCTTTCCCGTGGGTGGTTGTGACTTTGTTGGCAAATTTGCCTAAGTCTTTTATTCGGGTCGTGCCCGTGCTTGGCTTTCTATTCGGTGGCCAAACTCGCCTAAGTAACGACCTCGAGGAGAGATTTCTTTTTCGACCCTTTTGGATGGCCCAACGTTCTTCGAGATTCGTCGGGCGTGCGGAGCGAAGCCGCTTGTTTGGGTACATGACCCGGATCGGGGTTGTTCACCCGCGGCGTGAACTGCCCATCGCGAGCTGGGTGTTCTGCCCTACAGGTACTTCGACGGTGGAGCTCGGTTGAGGTGTCCACTGTAACACCCCTTCTAAATAACCCGCGAATATATTAATTAAATCATAGTAACATGGAAAACAGGGATGTCACAATTCAAGATAAATATAAAAACCTCAAATCTACAGTTGTCATGCTTTATTGAAGGAATTATTAAGATAAATATTCAAATCAACATCATGTTCTACACAACGGAAATGTCTCAAAACCGGAATAACTTCACGTCATAAGTATTCCCAACATAAATTAAACAATAGAGTATAAAATAAAACTCATCATTCAAACGTTTCCCCCAGTGTTACAACCTATCAGAGCACGACACTGACACGCGAACTTAAAGTAACATAGCTCTAGAGCCATCCTCACCAACTCCTGAGCTGCTAACTTTAATCTGAAATCATTAAAGTAAGGGTGAGATTTCTCATAATTAACATGCATTATAAGCTTCTCAATCAACAGTATATCACAAGCATATTATTTTACCCATTTTAGCATAAATTTAGATTCAACACGCAGTTCCAATCATACAAGTCATTAT